TTTGAATATTTATGTGTTCTTCTTAAGCATTTCGTTAATACTATCCAGCCGCAAAGTTGATTCCATTGCGAGCGTATTCTTCTTCACAGAGACAAAACATGACATTACGTATTAACCTATTAAAGATTTATTTCTTATTGACACCAAGCATTTCGCTGTAAATTTTGATCCGAAGCCTATTTCATTAATAGCGAATTTTTCAACAATATTAAGATTATTCTAATTTCAATCGCAAGCAATGACAGACAATGCAATTTGATTCAAACTTGGTACCGAAATTTCAATTCATTTTTCAATTATTGATCTAATCGAGAAAAGTTATCTTCTATTTTATCCATTTTAATATCTGATTAAACTGATTATCCAATAATCTTAGTTGTTATTGAAGTTATCTACCTTGCTACAATTATTTCATTATTGCTTAGCTGTGCTCACAAAGTTGGTTTTTATATACACAGTAGCCAAACTAAAAACTCAAGGCAATATCATGGTAATATATGATGTCTCTTCATTATTGAAGCATTCATTGAATAGAATAAAATTGAATATAGCTGGCAACAACTACAACATGTATTCTCATGTTGTTTAATCCGGCACATTATGCATTTATCTAAATTTAGAGCATTAATTGGTTAGTGACCTATTAGGAGATGAGATAACGTAGTTTGATGTAATTCAAAGTCAGTATTGAGCTAATAATAATTGCTGAATATTAGCTGCAATTGTATTATTATGCGCTACATTGTATGTGTATGATTAATCATTGTCCAAAAAATTAATCTGTTATAGTAAATTACTGTATAATAATGGAGTAGACTAACTCTTGTAATAGCACGAAAATTGTATCCCATGTTCTAGCGTTTTCTCTATCAATATGAATTTATATCCTAAATAATCCAATAACTTAGGCTAAGGTAATTCAGTCTCATTATAACTTGATTCTGCCATCGAACTAAAATTTTCAAGCGCATTATGTAAAAATTCAAATGTTGGTCGATCTTCTGGCTCGTATTTCCAACAAGCAAGCATTAATGTATATAATGCTTCTGGACAACAATTAGGTCTATCCATTCTTTCGCCTCGTTGTATATAATCAATCACTTGTTTATGGCTAAAGTTAGCATATGGTGTTTTACCTTTCGTTATTACTTCAAATAACAGTACTCCAAACGACCAAACATCCGATTTAATTGAACAACGGTTATAAAGGATAGCTTCTAATGCAGTCCATCGAATTGGAATTTTGGTTTCTTCTTTAGTACTATAGATATCTTCATCCACTAAACGTGCCAAACCAAAATCTGCTACTTTACATACATTATGTTTATTGACTAAAATATTACGAGCAGCCAAATCACGATGGATATAATTCTTTTTCTCTAAGTACTCCATACCAGAAGCTACTTGTGCTGCCATGTTAATTAAGGACTCTTCGGTCAATGCATGTCCATCTTTTGTGTTAAGGAAGCTTAATAAGTTACCATTTTCCATTAACTCTGTAATGATTAGTATAGGCTCGCCATCAGAGCAGACGGCCAATAATTGGATAAGATGATCATGGCGTAGCTTTTTCATCACTGCTGCCTCACCTAAAAAAGCAGTCCTTTTCATTGCACCCACTTTCATTTGTTTGACTGCAACATCCGTAGTACCATTCCATTTACCAGACCAAACTTCACCGAAGTTGCCAGCCCCTAATTTTTTAGTTAACTTGATAGAATTTCGCGGTACTTCCCACACATCCGAGGCTATTCCTGGTGTTGGGCCAACTGCTCGCAGACAAGGATTTCCTAATCGACAGTATAAACCATTCTTAGCTTGTCGATAGTGCTCCACTAATTCAATCAGTGTCTTAAATTGCGATTGCAGACTGATATAATAGCCACCAGAATCTAATTTACGAATACGATAATGTTTGATAACATCACCAGCACGGAAAGACAAGGCATATTGATTCGGTTGGCTTTCACAATGACGAATTAAGAAGCCTCCACGTTTAACATCACGTTGCATTAAACGAACTTCAGCGGCATTACGTTTCATTTCAGGAAAGAACCAACTAAAAAAAAATATATTAGTTAATAATGGTTGATTTTGTAATTATTTGTTGCATGACAGTAATTTTAAGTCCAGTCAATAATGCATGGGGTAATAGGCAATAAGATGAATGAAAGATGAAGCACTGTATTTACGAAAAATATAAATTAAGCCATTAAGCGTAATAGAAGAATTGATATTTTACGACGTACGTTAGTAACAGATGGGATAAAGGTTAAGTAATCATATAGTGAATACTTTGGGGGAAAGGCCGTTACAATCCAAGGCAATAGCTTTTACTGTATAAATGCTTTCCTTCTTTTTTGGTACTCAACAGGTTCTTCTTTTACCTGCATGGTCTACTGTATGTCATAAGAGGGAAATTATTGGTTGGTGTAATTAAACGCTTTCCTTTTAACATAGACTTTAAAGAGTTCTCACAGTTAGTTACAGACGTTTAAAGGTTCTTTTTTCCTTTGATTGTCTTCCTCACTCAACTGCCTTCCCTCCGACTATACAGATTCTATTACAAAAATGATCGTTTAATGGTTACAAAAATGGAAATGTCAATTTTTCCGAAGAATCATGAAGAGTATCAAAATTTTCTTCATGGTTTAGGCACCCGAAGTTATTGAAGAAATTATGATACTGTAGTAACTTTAAAATATCTTTACGATACTCTAAAGCGCTTTGCTAAGTATTCTACTACGGAATAGAAAAGTTAAGTTATCGTGAAAATCCGTAGAACATATGTAAGCAGAGCAAAAGATAGATGGTCACGATCAGATAGAAATTTATTCCAGTTAGACCAGTTTACCAAAGGCCATTAAGAAAAAGACAATACGAATTTCTATTTGAATTTTAGCCAGACTTTCGCATCGTTTTATGCATAGTTATGGAGTATTCAATACAGCTGATTCATATCGCATACAGTGTAGTAAAAGTAAGAGTAAAATGGTTGTCCTTGAGCAGTTTAACAATCTGATAAGGAAAATCATAGATTGGTAGACATTTTCGTATTGATTAATCGATAAACGCTTAACTTAATGGCTACGAAACTTAGGGCTGTCAAATAGGTGTAAGATTATATATAGTCTCTTGAGGATACTATAAATTCTATCGGACTTCGTAAATGGTCACACGCAAGCAAAGTAGAATATTTGGCTAATTGATATCCTTTCATGATTCGACTTCGGGTAAAAAAGTCAGAAGAATACCCGTTGCATTCGATCAATGTAGTATGATAATGACAATATTATTATGTCTGTGTTATGCATGCTGTTAATATCATATAAAGTATGCAAATAACCTCTAACTATGAGGAAGATGACGGATAAAAGTAATTTAAAAGTTATTTCTTACTTTAGTAATTAAAATTGTAGACTTCTGCGGTGAAAGTACTTCAACTACCTATTTAACATCAAGTGCTCGAAGTTGCATTGGTAATGTTGCAATTATTAGCTGTAGATTGCGCAGAAATCAAGTTCAAACAGTATAAAGGTTTAATAGGAATTCTATTAGAATCAGTAAATCCGGTCTTATCTTACTGAAGATTCTTGTAATCAATGCAAAAAGGCGAAAGCTGATATAGCCAAAAGCAACAAAATGATTCACTTTAACGCTATCGAAATAAGAAGTTATACTGTATATGTCCGCTATAAAGATATTTTGATATAATTCTATTCAAAAATTTCCCGGTTGTAAGTATGGATAGTAAGTAATTTGCTCAATGAAGGTTGCAATGGATGAAAGTCTGGTTTCATTAAAGTCAATGAAAGGGATGCAGAACGACGAAAATTGAAACTGCTAATACCGTATCAAGAAATAATTTTAATCTTCCGAAAGTGTCTTTCGATATAGACCATATTAAATACTACGTTAAACTGTGCGTCGACAGTGTTATAAGGATTATAGTTAGCGGTTATTGCTCAGTAAATGTCAGAATAATCCGAAAGATTAAACAACGACTACCTTAGTTTTAGGTTGGAAAATTAGTATTGTGTCTTATTTACACAATCATAACGTCGATATAGTTAATGGTAACAAAGTAATTCTTGACGATTGAATATATAATACGTTTCTAGAGAACTAGCCAGTTATAGCGTTGAAAGGTGGTCAAAACAAATTAAGTGTTCTAACACAGCATTATGGCTTGATATTTTTTTCATCAATAATTAAATTATCCCAAAATGATAACTGATTTTACTTACAGGTTGGCTAAATCGCTGTTAGGGGATTGAACATAATTAAACGGTACAAATCCTTCATTGCCAGTATGTAACGATCGAGCTTTCCACCAATCGCCATCGCTTTCTAAAATTTCAAGCGGCTCACCTTTTCGAAAACTTAAATCTTGCGGCGATAATGCTTTATAATCATACAAGCCAATGAAGATATTGGATTGAGGAGGCAATGGTAACGGCGATGGTATCGATGAGGTTGATGAAGATGGTGATACCGTTGATTTTTTCGCCTTTGAACAATTCTGGCCCATCTTGACCAATCTACACAGAAACTTAAATAATTGCTAAATAATATCCAATCCGCTAAAGCATAAAGGTCTCTATTCATAAATTACAGTAATATATAGGCATTGACGGCGGTAAGAAGTAATTCTAAAGAGACTTTTATCAAGTAAATGTCGTTTCTATGTGTTTTCAACCTTAAAATTAGATCAAACAGGACCAGTGATTAATAACTTTTTTGATGAGCCCTATATGGTACCTACTATTGGCTCATAATTACAATTATTGACAGCTGTTGGTACTGATGAAATTGTAAGCTTACTCTTAAATCACACTTAATCAACGCTAGTATACTTTAGCTACATTTAGTTAAAGTGAGTAATTTCAACCGGAGAAGTTATTAATAAAAAAAAATGTGCATTTGCACGTGATCGGGTACGCTCAAACCTTGTAAACGTAAATTCGACAAAGTTTATTTATTGAACCTACTAGGGAATGCTAACAGGGCGTTGCTTTCATTGGTCTAGCTGATACAATCTATTAATGTAATATGGTAGTGTTAGAGATGCAAAATAAATAGGAACGTGCATAGGTTATCATCATGAAACTATGGTGGGTAAATGATTATAATTATATTATTAGTCTTGCTAATAAAATACAGTATATTGTTATCAAATGCTACATAAATTTAAGCGATAGGCAACAAATACATCTTTTTTAGTTCAATCGATATAGCGTAACCGTAGTTAATCGCTTTTTTCTTGATCATGGTGGATACCATAAACGACTTGATGATAATGATCTCGTAAAAAGTAGCATCGATATGTTATAAGAGTAATTTCTTTAATTTTTCTTGGATCATAGAATAGTTTCTTAGTTATTATATAAGCGTTTGCATTACTTGGTAAACTAACAAAATCTTCAGGACCCAAGGTGGGACTTCTAAGCAACTCCTCTCCCTAAAATGAACACTTCTTCCCTTCTCCCGATCTAAAAATAAAGAAGAAAGGAATGCTCAACTAGCTTACAGTACGAACAGTATAATACTGTACATAGTGGAATCAGCTTCCACATTGTTTGCACTGTAGGTCCGTTGGCTTTCTATTTTCTCTTTTAGATTAGGAGAAAGTGATTATTTTTGGATTAGAGAGTATTCAGTAGTCTCTGACCAAATCTATTCGTTCACCTTCTTTGTTACAGATATAACACATTCAATTATCAACTTAACATAAATATTATCATATGTTTATTCTACTGTCATGACATAAGAAATGAGTCTTTCATCTAAAAAGTTGCTCCAAATTAATTTTAAATGCAATTTAATATATAGTCTAGGGTCTGAGGATTACCAAAAATACGTAAAATACACCCCTGCTTTACATTGTACAACAGAATAGTAGACTAATGATATATATAGAACGCATCAAATACTGTATCACTTTTCGTCGTGATATCAGTGCTATACTGTTTCAGAACAAACGTTTCCAAGTGTGTAATTTTGCACACTCAATAATGCATATGTATATACATTAACTGATACCAATCATAGTTCATGTTTACTGCAGATTTTACAATTTCAATTTGGCTTTGATGGATGCAGCCTATAGTTTTAATATTTGGTAAAATTGTCGTTATATTATTGTAATTATTGAATGAAATATACTAAAAGTTAGTAATTTGTAATTAATGAGAGTATCGTACCTCGCTTTGCATTAACTTTTTACGCTGCAAGGCTTGAACTGCTCCGGCCTGTTGTTAAAATAATTTTTCACGTAAAAAGGATCATCAAATGAACTAAATCGTAAGAAAAATAAAATACGTGTACGTCACATGTATACCTTATTTCCTTGAGTATTTAATTGGACAGCTAGTGCATGTTCTTCCTGAATTTTCTTTTCCAGATTCTGGGTATAATCTACAGTAGAACAGAAACGAATCAATACAGTAATCTATAATATTAGATACCTTAATACGTGTATAAATCTAAAGTATAGACCAAATTATTATCAATTGGTTAGTGAGCGTAGAGCCATAAAGATTTAAATTAAAGGAAACACAAAGCTAAAGATGTAGTCATGTTACCTTTCCAGGCTGACACGCCTCCTGACTTCAATTTCTTTTCTAGATCACCTGCTAGATCCTTATAATGCTTCAATGCTGTCGATAAGTTCTTTGGAGGAGATGTACCTTTCGACTTAATGCTTATCATCTAATAAGTTAAGTATTGAATTCAGTATACAATCATGCGATCAGTTATAGCTTGCTAATCTACCGTCATTATCTCAAGTGTAAAACGCAAACCTGCTTTTCGATTCGCTGGCATTCAGATTTTAACACAGCTAAACTACTATAGTTTGGAGTTGTTGAGCTGCTAGTGGATACAATATATAACATAATGATTCCGAGTTAGCAAGTTATCCAGCATGATTTAAACATTTGATGATAACTTATACTAGATACTTTTATTAACCTTTTAGCTGAAGTGGTATTAGACGCTTTGGCAGTTTTATTGCTATAGTAAATCGATATTTTCGTAAGTACGATACAATGTTAGCTGCTAGAGGCAGAAAATTCACTGTTTAAAAGCTTATCAGTTACCGGATTGAAGGTGCCAATGCAGCGCCAGCTAAATTCTCAATCTACATGAAATACAAATTTAAACTATGTACTTAAATGCTACAATATCAATAGAGTCAACAATGCACAGCTTTCTAAGTTAAATATCGTACATGAGGTACTCCAGAGCTTGTATCCAATACGAGCCATCTTTCCTGAATTTCTGAGATTTCTTTTTCGGAAACTGGCTCGCGGATACGAATGCTGACTTCTATTTTACCACCACAAGGCCGTCGACCGTCCATTAACTGTTAGGACAGATATATATGAAAATTTGTATATTACGTATATTAAATACTTTTAAATTACATCAATGGGTAACATTATAATAATGAACTATTCTATGCTTCCTCTTACATCAACACATTGATGAACTTCGCATTTACTTTCCAAACCAGCTAATTTAATATTTGCTTGAGCTAATAGTTTATCGCGTTGAAGAAAACCTCTACGATTGAGCGTATCAAATATGTAGACATTCATAAGAATTAGAACTATGGCTACTATAATATGAATGCGTTAGTGATAAGTTAACACCTTTCGTAAAGCAATTCTAGCTTTAATGATTGGCGCTTAAAGATTCTAGCTAGCGATCGTTGCTTTCTATCAATCTTGACTTTAATTTCGTCACTGAATTCTACAAACATTGACATTAATATTCAAGTGTATGGAAGAATTTATAACTAAGATATAACCCTAAATTACCTGGGTTAACTGTGTGCTTGACAGTACTTGTTCGTCCACTTTGAGGGGCATCCTACCGTAATTACGAATAAATCTTAAGTTATCAGAAGTAAGTATTGCCGAACTTTTACAATGGTAAATTTGGCATACCGAAGGGAACGGAAATTCATAAGCAACGTAACAATGGAAATCGTTCGCGGTGTATCCTACAAGAACTACTCGTTAGTATAGGTTTAAAAAGAACATGCTTCTGCTTACTGGACTCTAATCTACATACAAGTTACAAGTAATTAAGAATTGGAACGTTACAAGCGACAACTTAGTTCTAGATTGTACAGTTTTACCTGACGGCAGAGGTAGATTAATACACCGAGATACTTTAATATAGGCTTCCGAACTACTAATTTCCGAAAAGGACCTATAGATATGTTAACAGTAAATTCTTTACAAAATTAAAGAAAATATAATTCTGGTATAGAGTATAAAGTGATACCAACTTGATGACGGTGAATTTTTTAATTTCATAATGAAAACGTGGAACTGGATCTTTATGAGACTTTGAATTTCGAAGATAGTCTAAACTAATACGGCACTCGGCTCCTAGTTTTTCGTATCTAAATAAAATAATAAGTATTATTCATTATTTTTTGTGAACGTATCAATAGAACATTTCTTTGTTTACCGTTTTGAATTCTCCAAGTCCCCCAGTTTGGCATAATATTGAGTATTTTGCAAGCAAACCTATCATGACAGACAATATGACCGCTAATTTTAACGACGGTGACGAGCTTAACTACATCGAGAATTTAGATTGCTGTTTTAACTAGTAACCTCCATCTGTTTGATTATCGCAGCATCTAGTCGTTCATATAGGGCGTTTGCATCCCCATCACTAGCAGAAATAGGCCCATCGACAGTTTGATTCTTATCCGCTGTTTGATTTGAGTCTGATTCAAGATTAGGTGGTGGAGGTAACTAAAGGATAACACAAGTAAGATATTAGAAATTGTAATGATTTATAAAACGTCTTGAATAAAAGATTCGAGTATGAAGGCTAAATTGTGCGAATATCTATATAATTTCTACTGTACATTGCTCAAGTCACAAGGTAATCCACTTTCAGCTGCTTCAATCATCTGATCAAAGCCCTTTAATAAATAAGTCAAATAAAGGTGTTAGGATCCTAGTTCGATGTAAGGCCATCTACAAATATCATATCGTACTTTACAAATTTTATGACAAGTAACGAAAATAAATAGTTGTTTGCACCTTGGCTTTTCTCAGATAATCCTTGGCAGTATCAATATTTCCTTTCTTCTTTGCTGCTAGAGCAGCAGCTTTGAATTGATGTTGTCTATCTAAGAGAAATTTCAGCTGTTGCTGATTTCGGGTCGGCATCTTAGTCTACAACAATAAATAGAGATTATTTCTTAAATACTAGCAAATAGCCTGCAAGCTTACATAGGGGTAATAATATTTAATATCTTATTCAGAATATTTTTGAAAAGGCAGCATTAAAAATTGATACACTGGATTACAGATCTTGCGAATTTTCGCCAGATACACTGCATATGCAGTATAGTTCATATTTTGTACTACAAGGGTAATGTACTCACGGGGGACGATTTGGGAGTGACTTTAGAAGCTGTAAAATCAACAGATAACAAAGGAGAAACTGAAAATTATTGCTATACTATGTTGCAAAAAATTAGAGATTTTATATTACCGCTAGCTTCAATAGATGCCTTAACAGGTTGCTGGCTTGTATTGGGCAACGGAATGGGAGCAAAACCTATTAAAAATGTAAGTTGTTATTAAAAGTGACTTCTTCGGAAAGAGTGACGTTATATGCAACTTGACGTTTTTCAATAAGCGAAATTACGAATTTATTTGCATTATATGAATGATTTTTAAGAATACTTTCTGGGATACAATAGGTACGTATTTCTGTAATACTGTATATCAAACCTGGTAATTCCGGTATAGATTCCCAATCATACGGTTTGCCGGCTTTAAGATGTGCAATTGCTTGTTGAATTTGCTATTATAATCAGGTATGCATCGTAAGTGTAAAGCGTAAAATTTTAACTTTCAATAAGATTTTAATTAATTGATTGATTTAGACTAACTGTAACAATCCTTCCAGAGCGTCTTGCTTTTGCTTCATTACCATTTTCTTGGGCTGTTTCGACTGCCTTTTCAAATTTTTCAAGTCTCATGAGTAATGCATCCATAGTATCTACAGGAGCTGCAGGATTACCACCAGATTTCTTAGGACTTGCAGTAACACTAGATTTGTTTGACTCTCCAGAATCGGGTGGCGGTACTGGGGGAAGTCCTAAGCATACAGTATCATTTGTATCATGTTTACTAGATATATAATCAGCTGCTTGAATCAACTTAAAAATTGATAAACGAGCCATTCAAATGATAGAAAATATTGTTATGGTGCAAAATGAAAACAGTATCATATACAACATTATAATAAGTAAAGCAGATCCAGCAAACGAAAAAGTTTAACTCGTAGGCAAGACGTAAAATTGAGATAACTTCAATCGGTATACGTAGGTATTCCAGAGCGAATTTTAGTTTCTAATGTATGACCATATTTTACACTAGCAAAACTGCTGACCTGGCAGTGTCGGAACGGCTTCCCAGTCATACGATAAGCCTTGTTTAAAACATTTCATGGCATTTTGTACTTCCTATAAATTGTAAACCGCAATATTGTATCAATTATATAGTGTCAATATCTAATTTACGTATAAAAATAATGTACAAAATTCTCTTTGTAATAAACCTTTAGAAGTCTTGTATGACGACGGACTTTTGAGCCATTTCCTGCTTCTTTAGCTGCTTCAATAATAGTTGAAAACCGTTGTATCCGCATTGTCAGAGCATCCAACGTACTCACTGGGGCTGCAGAGTCATCAAGAGTTTCATCGCTTGCAGGTAGGTCCGATGAAGGTGATACTTCTGGTGGTGCTGCCGAAGGAGGTTTTGCATGGTAAGTAGGCGGGTCTAAAGCCGAAATATCTATGTCGTTTCCAGCTTTTACCGATTCTAGCATTGACTCAATTTTCTGTATTTAGTCACATAATGAAAATAAAATAGGGAAGTTAAATATTTATGTTTGAGCATTAAGTTTACCGACCATGGTTATTGTAAATTTTAGCAGTAACTATAGCTGCAACTACCTTGGAAATTATTAGAAATTGCTTGGCCAATTCTATGTTATTATCCTTCTTGGCAGCAAGCGCTGCCTTCTTATACTGAGAGAGTCTTTCAGTTAATATTTGAATTTTGTTATCGGCTTCAGCTTTTACGGTTTCTGAAGGCTTATCATCACTTCTGGGTCGAGCTGGCGAAACACCAACACTTACAGGCCCTGGCATCTCATCCAAATTTATGAGTTTACCGGAAGAAGCACTTTTAATCATGGAATCCAAATCCTGCATAGAAAGATATGATAACATTGTTTATTTAGGTGTTTCATTATACTGTAATAGACTAAAATTTTGACAGCAAATACGAAGGCTAAACAAGATTTTTATCATTACATTGGTAAATCCTGATAGGATTTCGTAATGGCTCATAAATTACCTTTAAGCCACGAGTAATCCTTCTCATACGTGAACTATCATTGGACTGTGTAGCAAATGTTAGTGCAGCTTCGTACATTGCTTTCCTATCTTGCAAAGCTGCTAAGGTATCATCTGTAGTAAGAGACTTTGCTTCATCACTGGCCTAAGATGACAATATACCATCTTCATTGTAATGTTTATGTACTAGTATTGCAATTTCTGCATATACTGTACTTAATAAGAGGCAATAGTTGTTGTGTAATAATGTTCAATAGTTATAATAATAATGAACGTAAAAAAGCGTTATTTTATAATTTAAAATAATACATTTAAGTTTTTATATCGGTAAATTGATTATGTAAGCTTAAACTTTCAGCAAATGTGTGGTGGAATTACAATTACGAGACATTATACATAAATTACTAAGATACAAGTGACGTGGAAATTATACCACTCCACATGAAATACAAAAAATCATTACCTTGACTGCTGTCTCCGTGTGAGCCATATCGTCATCTTCATCAATGAAATCATTTAGTTCATCCTTTAATTAAGAATAATTTGCTTTATATGGACTGCTTATGATAGTGGTTAAATATTCCTAAATATTATAATGATGGGAAGTCTATTTAAAACTAATTAAAAAAATGATTTAACCATCAATTCCGCTTGATCTATCTCATCATCATCATCATCATTGTTGCCATCATCGATATCCATTATGTTCTTAGCGGCCATTTTTTGTATTTCATTGATGGTTACTTCTAGAAAAAAGTCGATCATAGAGATATCAATATTTTAATATCTAGACATCGAAACTCGTTCTAAGTATGTTGAATAGCTAAAGTTTTATAATACACCACACCTTGTTGAGATAATGATTAGTGTGCACTGAAGGTTTATTATGCGGGTATAATAATGTACTGTACCTTTTGACTTTGATTTTTTTTTATCTTTTGATGGTGATATGCCAGCGATCGCAGCCATTTCAGCTTCTAAATTAGCGTCATCATCATCATCGTTGTTGACCATGCCAATACCAAGCTGTGTTCATTATACGTGTTGTATATATATATATGCATATAAAGTGCATGAAAAAGAACTCGTTCATTGCATTATCTGGAAATTACTTACAATTCATAACTACCGTGTGTTAAATCTATAATATACATTGTGCTACTTTACTCTATTTTCCGTGTAGATGAATAGGATACGATTAAAGGGCTTGACCTAGAGATATCCTAACTGGTGAATTAACTAGTGAGAGTAGACGTTCGCACTATACAGTACGAGTCAAAACAGTACCTATTTCATATCTACGAGTGTACTAGTTAATAGTCATAAAAAGTAACAAAAGCTGGCATCAGTACACGATTGTATTTCACGTGTACAGAATTACTATAATTGCTGAGGTTCATAGCCCACAAGTAAGTTAGTAATAAATACGAAAGCATCCATCGTTTGGCAAGATACTCGAGTATTGGCAAATGTCTACAGTATTGTAGATGATGGAGGTGTGGGGGATACTATTAGAAGGTGACAGTATTCAAGTGTAGCGTTATACTGAGATTTGTCAGTATGTATATATACTTCTACAATTTTAAAATTAATCCAATGCATTCGTACGATATTATATTATGATATACTACTATAGAAAGAGTGTACAGTGAGTCTTCTTTCCATTGAAAGACTAAACCATTGAACATTACGACCGGTGCAATAGTGTCAGTACTGCCTTCTTCAATATGGTAGTAGCATTTTACCCTATGTAAGACATGTATATCTGTCCAAAATAGGCAATTTATGTTACTGGCGTTATTTTTACAAAATTTCTTTTAATTAAATTAACACATGACACGATTGAAATGAATCCACAGCGACATTTTTCATGGTATGTATACAGCTAATGAAAGAGTGCGAGTATAACTGTTAACTGGTAATACAACAGACACATAGAAGGCACAGTTGAAGTTTTCAACTGTAAAGTCGTTGAAAACTGTAAACTTTAGTACTTAGGTAAGATCGTCCATTCGGTTATTCTATTTTTACCGTTTTGGCTAAATCATTGTCTTTACTAGCTTTGGACTTTCTTTTGAACATATTTGAAGGAGTATCTGCAATATTTACAGTATTTTTAGAAAGCAGAATGTGCCACTTTAGAAATCACAGGTAGGCAAGGAGCAGTGGGGCCTACGTCATACTCGGGCAGATTATAAAATGCTTGGAGTACAGTATACAGTACTGTTGTACAGTACGGTGGCGCAGAAAAGTACTGTAGTGTACAGTACAGTACAATAGACAGTATTGGAAAAAAAACACGCCTTCTTGGTGATACCGGGTTATTGACTTGGGTTAGAACCCTTTGGTTCCAGGCTGTTATTTGACTTGGGTTATACCGTACTGTACTTGGCTAGTGGCCAATGATTCCATTACGTCACTTTTTTTTACTAGACAAGTAATGGAAGTTTTTCTCCATGGTTATGAAATGTTCAATGTTATAACCATAGTAGAGTACAGTAGTGTACAGAATCTGATTATTAATAAATAATGGAAGTTTTTCTCCATGGTCCATGGTCATGAAATGTTCAATGTTATAACCATAGTAGAGTACAGTTGTGTAGAGAATCTGATTATTTTCGATGGCACCCTGAAAAGATATAATTGTGCAAGTTCAATCAGGCCCAAGCTACATAAATTCTATACTTAGTTGTAGCCTAAGAACTCAGGAATGCCAATTTGGTTCTTATTTTTCTAGATATTCTATACTTTTCGCGTAAAATTGGTTAGAAGTTTAAAATCTCGACAGTAATAAATGAAATTTCTCTGTACCGTACTGTAAACTAATCTTAGCACTTTCGAAATGCCAATACACTTCAGTACAAATGTGGGTACTGTACTGTACATACAGTACAGTACCGTATAGAAACCCCCCGTTTTACTGTGTACTGTAGTTTCCTGATTCGTTGTACTGTACAGTACTGTACTGTTATTGACGCTGAGTATCTGAGTAATCGGAGCTATTCTGGCTGGGCCTGCTGTATGTACTGTACACTTAGGCCACTTCGCGTACTGTTTACATATAATTTTAAGTACTCAGTTCTCCAATTTACTGTCTACTCTTTGTATAATTGCAGTATTATTAGCGAAGAGATATTTACCAATATTGTACACTGCATAAGTATTCAATCGGATTATATTTTAATGATAATCCATACATGACGAATTCTCTCCCATAAGAGATTATAGAGAGAGAGAATCAGATGTCCAGATATATGGAATATCGGCGATATACAGTAGATCTATATTAGCATTCGGGCTAAATTGATACTGTATATGGGGTTGTTATTCTAAATTACATACATATATATATATGTATGTATGAAAAATCGAGAAATACAGAACTGAAGTATTTGTATAGATAGAATTCTGTCACATGGGAGATATTATACAGTACTAGTGCAAACTCCCGTCGCTTTACTGACGGTTTACGATAATGTGCTCATTTAACAGAGGTTCAGTAACTATCAGATCGCTGACTAACGAACATTATCCTCTTAGAAATACTTTTTGTAATATGATATATAGCAATCAAAAATAACCGGGACAGGGGAACTATAGTAGGGTAACACTACGAATTGCAAGAGAGCAATAGAACTAAGAGTACCTACTGATGTGTATCAATCACTTTTCAAATTTCGTTAAGTAACTTTCGTATTAGTATGTTTACCGAATAAGGATGGTTACTATATACAGTATAGAAATCAAAAGTAATTGGGACAGGGGAACTACAGTAGGATAACACTACGAATTGCAAGAGAGCAATAGAACTAATAGTACCTACTGATGTGTATCAATCACTTCTACCTTCTCAATAATATTTACATAAATCCTAGAGATCATTCATTTCTATACCAATTCAAATTTCGTTAAGTAACTTTCATATTAGTAATCGGGAC